TGAAGTCTGGCCATGCCTTGATACCAAAGGAGACTGTTTGAAATAATTCCATTTACTTTGGCTTGCATACAAGTCTGGATAAAGAATTCAGTCAAAACACCTCTTCACATCATAGAATGGTCTTAAAATGGTACACAGAGATAACACAGCAAGAAGACATTAAATCTGTCATGCACTTCAAAGTACTCTGATAGTTATTTACAAGTTTCATGGAGCAGCTTCAGGGAAAGCAGAACATCGACCAAAACAGCAATCAATACGTGCTCCAGTTGCACTATGTGCATGCAAATATTGATGCTAAAAAAAACCTCAAAAAACAAAAAATCAAAAAAAAAACCCACCCAGAGCTAAGGAAACTGAAGTAGAAAACATCACTGACAAATCCTTTCCAATACAAGAACTTAGAGGAGAACTTGACTTAAGGTCAACAGAGGTCTGACTGGCAAACGTACGTCAGGTATGCTTACTATTTACTCCTGGAGCACAAACCCAAATTCTGTTTAGTGTCACCCACCACAAGACTCAAAACCAGTATCAAAGAACTGTACTGGGAAGAACAGAAAGGATCTCAGAGTTCAGTAGTGACTGGAAAATGTGAATTTCCTAGCACAGAGACATGCAATAAATTTTTTTTACTTTGAAAGATGGAAGATAAAACAGACAGAATATCAGTACAGGAAAAAAATATCCCAAATCCTCTCAAGCACCTCTCTGATACGGCTGCTCACTACAGGTGGCTCTCTTATTTCTGTAACTCTACAGATATGTTTGTAAACAAATGCCTTTAACTGAAATGCATTAACAAGTACAGACACAGTACTCAAACACATGAGGAACAAGCCTGAGACCAACATCATCCTCCAGTAAAATATTTTCTTAGACTTAAAATTTTATCACTGACTCCAAAATGCATTAGGAAAAAGACTTCACTGTAAAATTTTCCAGGAGAATATTTTCCAACATAAGAACTACCACATCTAACAGAGCCTGAGAAGTCTTACCACAAGGTCATGAATTTCTTCAGAGAACCATTTTAATCTTGTATTACCCTAACCTACCCAGAAAAAAATGGAACAAAGCCATGGCTTAAGGTTTTCATAGGATTTTTCCATATTAACATCATTAATAGACTACAGAAATCCTTTTGTCTCAATTTCATGTAGATTTTATTTTACCAGTTCATAAATATTAACCCATACATGGGAACAAATTTAAGAGATGCTGGGAACTAAAAAATAGCTTAATATTGCAACATATTCCCTTCTTCTATCTTAAGTAATTTTACTGGTACTCCACTGTTTTTAAATCACATTGCAAACAAATTGCAAGCTGTTTGGGAACAAAAGGAAAGGGGAGAGAACAGTGACTCATAAAGAAGCTTTATTTTTTTTTAATTTTCTGTAATTGCATCTGATCCATGGGGTGGATGACACTCTAATTCTTTATCTTCCTGTCTGATAATCCAGAATTCTCCAGCTCTGCTACTGAGCCACAGGAACCCTGGCTTGAGAATCCTCTTCCAGAGCACTCACTCCTCCAGCCTTCCACTGGATTACACACTATCTATGACCACAATTGTACCATTCATGGAAAGAGAACCCTACAGATGAAAAGGTCACACAGTGACCACCACTGACACATTCTCTGCCAGCTCAGCCTCTGACCTGCTCAGTGCTGGTTCAAACTACTCAGCTGCTGTATGTTGCAGCTCTGCTCTGAGCAACTGGTGTAGTTTGTGGCCATATTGAAGCTGGCTGCTCAAAGAAACTTTCTAAGATAGAGATGTAGGCACCATTTTAAGAACTGCATAAAAAGCAGAACTAGCATATTAGCAGCTATCTATTTAGATATATAAATCTATTAGCAGATTTATAAATCACTGACTGGTAATGCTTTAAAAAAATTGTGTTTGACTATTGCTTTACATCTTTACATCTACAAAAAGCAAGAATCCAGACAAGATGACTATGGTTTGCATTCCAATAGAGTACTCATGCAGAACAAGATTTTAATGCTTGCTGTTGGATATCTATACCTCCAATCTAGGAGCCATGAATATTTAAAACCAAAATGTGCACATGAGGATGTAGCTGCACAACATCAATGCATCAGTCTTGGATTGTAAATGACTACAACAGTTCATCACACAGATCCCAAATTATCCCAGCCACATCTTGCACAGAGGACTGAGACTTACTCCATGCAACGTGGAGCACTGGCAACCTGCTCAGAACAACGTTGTGAAGTCACTGTTCCCTGTACATCCCAAATCACGGGCTATCCCTCCTCAGTCAGCAGGCAGACAGGCAGCTCCAGAGTACAAACCAGGAGCCAAGCAGAGGCAGCTTGGCCAGAAGCAGCCTAGTACTGCATTCCCATCAAAAAGCACATGCTCAGGCATTTCTAGTCATCACTACCTGTGACTAGAAGAAGGAAAGTTTCCAAAGTTTTCCAAAATCATGTGACTTCACTGGGAATAAAGGTAGCATGCATGTGTTCTTAGCAAGGCACTGCTTACAGAAAGAAGTGATGCTGTGCCGTGCCTCCATTTCTAAACATCCCAGGACAAATAATTTGCAAAGAAAATCACAAGCAAAGGATAATAACCAGTGGTCTGCTCTTCAGGTCCTTCCAGGACAAATAATTTGCAAAGAAAATTACAAGCAAAGGATAACAACCAGTGGTCTGCTCTTCAGGTCCTTTTTTTTTTTCCTTCCTTTAATTTCCTTGCCTGCCATCAGTTTAACAACAGTTACAGACAGCCTGCCACTCTTCCACACTAATATCATTAAGGGAAGGGAGCCTCTAACCTCCCTATTAAACTGCAATCAAGCAAGGTCTTCAATGTCTAATGCCTCTAAGTCAACCAGGCATTACTGAAAAGCCTTAATCTGCAAAGTGAGTACTCACTCACCCACCCTACTGTACCACCACTAATCACTTCACAAGACCAGGAGCATTATCCAGATGCACTTCAGAGCTTAGTTGTAAAATTTGTTTCCGGTGTACTATGTCACTGAGGGTAAAGTGGAACTACAGAATTAATGTCAACCTGATTTCCAATTGCATTACAGTTGGCCACTTCCAAAACAAATATGCACAGGAAAGGAAATATAAAATTGTAACTCTTGCAATTCATTAATTAAATTATTACTCTCCTCACATAGAGCATTACTTACCTGCTGTTGTGTGTGTTCTAAATATGTATGTGTAGGCTTTTTTCTCCTCCCCACCCCCTGCCCTGGTAATTCTCATACTGGGTCACACTTAATGACCTAAGCACGTGGACATGTATAGGTTTCTGTGAGACTAAAATGTATATTCTACCAAATCACAGTTATATCAGAGAGTCATTAAGTATAGGCAAGGGAAGAAAAGAACTTTTGTGAAGCAAAAAAAAAAACAACTCCCAATTACAATTTATTCCATTTCCATTATTTGACAGTGAAAACTAGAAGCAACAGGAGAATTTTATACTCCTGATGCAATCATTTTCAAATAATAGCACAGGCCCAACAGAAGAGATACCAGATTATAATAAATAATAAAAAGTATAGTAGCTACTGAGGCTAGCTCCCAGTTTTACAGCATTTAATTTTCCTGTTATAAAGAGCTAGCTGGCTACTTCAATACACTGACTCATCTGTGAGCCTCATTTAACCCATGTATACAAAGTTTAAATTTTTATTAAAGCTTACTACAAGTAGCTGAACCCAAAATTTCCTAGTAATGCTCTCTTTCAGAACTGGGATGGTTTTTGCCATTATAGTCAGTTCATTTCTTACGTGCCCTAGTGAACTAAACACATTCTGTTCAGAAGTCTTCAGCTGCAGAGGTTGCAGAATAGACACGGGATGTTAAACTGCAGCATCCCAAACTTTTAAACATTTCCAAAGACTTGAGCAATTAATCAGAACCTACAATTCAAGCTGGTGATGCAATGACCTTTAAGATGATTTAGGTGACAGAGGCAGTGTTTCCAACTCACCCACTTGCTTCCCTCAAACTTAATATGCTCTTTGTTTGGCCAGCAGATGTACACGATAAACTCAACATGGCAAAGGGGGTGGGGTGGGGGAAGGACAGATAAACAACTTCTAACAGAAGGAGAGGGAGGGATTTGTTGTTTTCAGAAGTCTGAATCAGCATGGTCACCTGTAGTGTAGGCTACAAAAAGCTGACATGATTTTGCCTCCACAACCACCACTTCCATGAGCCTCAATTTTTTGGCTGTTTGAAAACTAGATGAAAAGACTGCAGATTTTTAACATGCTTTGAGTAATAAATAAGAAAACATTACACCTCTTAGTCTAGATTCCATGAGCTTTGTATCCTTCCACATTATTAATACCTTAAAACAGGCAGAAAGACACCCTTAGGCATCTGGTAAAAAAAAAAAAGCTGAAGCCAACAGGGCTTACAAAGAAGGTTTGGTGACAGACTGGTTACTCTAAACCTTCTGTGGATTCTCCTGGCACAAAATTGCTGATAACCTAACTTCTCACTGGCTTCATCAGCAGAGCAAGACCTCCATCTTCAGCAAAAAAAGAAACCCAAAACAAAACCCCCAAAAAACTAAGAGGAAAAACCCAAGTACAGCCAAGACCACAAAGGCACCTTATCACTGCCTGTAGTCACTAAGCAACAGCTCCACAAATATGCAAACCTAAAAAAGGGAGAATTTTAGTCCATTGGAAGATATACTGTAAACATGAGATAGCCAGGTAACCAAATGGCAAGGTATTATCTGAAAGCCTTGAAAATCTCCCTATGTGAACTGCTTTTAAGCCAACTTGTAATAAATAGCACATGCAGCTGAATTTAAAAAAAAAAAAAGAAAAATCCAAAGCCAAGTTAAATAGTAACTAACATTCAAATTTAACCATGTGAAGTCTACATTAAAATCTAAAATGACAATTACAAAATATTGTATTACTATGAACACTGTCAAGTGCTTTGAATAATAGTACACTAAGGAAATAAGTAAAAACACACTTTACCTTGTATCTCATTTTGGGGCATGAATGAATGTAGAAACCCATATAATAAAAACAGAGATCAGGAGCTTTTTCATGGAGTTGCCTAGTAAAAGCAATTTCCCTGTGAAAGGAAAGAAGACACTAATTACTTTTGAATACAACTCTTACATTCATTTTGCCTCTTCATATTGAAATATTTTATAGCTACCTGGCTCTTGACCTATTTAAACAACTAGACTTATACCAAATAAAAAAAAAATAATTTAATAAACTCAAAACTAATGTTTAAAAAAACCCCTAAAGATAATAAACTGAAAATACATATTTAAAAACCAAAATGCAAAACACCATGTCAGGCTTAAAAATACTTCCATTTTTGTGCTTTTGTCCCAACTTGAAATTTAAATAAAAGTGACTAAGAACCTCTATTTAACAGATTTCTTGTTAATATTCATGCATGTTGGAATTCTACAGAAACCTGGCCCAGCTATTGTACAAAGGTTGGCTAATGTAGCTCAGTATTTTTTAAAAAACAAGCTGCAAGGATAAGCCTCTTCTTTGTTCTGTTTGCATTCTAGCAATTCACATGTAAAACCATGCATCTTTATGCAACAAAAGGTATTTTTCACCCATCCCATGTTTGACTGGATGATTTTCTCATTTATTCTGAAAGAGGAGTGTCAATATATCCCCAAATAAGTTTGCTTTTATTTTCCTGGCACAAAGAAAGTAGCATTATTACAAAGACTCAGCCAGTCTTTCTACTCAAATGCCCATTTTTACAGCTTTTGTAACTTTGCAGTTCACTGTTGTAGCAAATTTGATGAAATATGGATGTTGGTTCTGACTTTCAGTGTTGAAGGGGTAAGATAGGAGCATGTGCATGTAGGAAGCACGTACAAATACTGGGGTTGTTTTATCATTTAAGTTACTAGTAAGGATGTTTAAAGGTACTGAAAGCTTCACATTCCAGTTGCATGTAGTTTGCTGAGACCATCAGGAGTTTGTTGTAACTCTGTATCTATATGCAACCATTCAAAGAGAAAAATGTCTGGGAATAAGTTATATCCATATCTGAAAATCCAGGGAAATAGAACAGATTCCAAAAGTGAGATTTATGTACTACCAAAAACGTACAAACACGAATTTAACATAAATAATCTTTAAGATGTGGCATGAAGTTAAACAACCTTAATGTTTCAGGCAGATTATGCTGGACCTAATTAAACAAATACCTTTCTGCAATTCAAAAAGCTGGAAAACTACAGAGAAAAAAAAAAACAGTATCTTTGTATTTCCAAAACTCTCCACTCACTCTTTCCAACTGGACTACACAATCTGATCTAATAAAACAAAAAGACTCCATGGGAACAGAAAGTGTAGTAAATAGGCCATAAAGTAATGAGGTAAAAATTGGGCTGGAGCAGTTAAGCCTTACCATGGGCAACAAGGCTTTGTGCAAGCAAACCAGTGCCCATGAACCAAAGCTAGCCTGCTTAGAACCACTGCCAATGTCTCTAGCTCCTGCTCTGTCATTTATCTGTTTGGCCAACCCCACTCCAGGGAAGTTTCACTGGGGGATGATAAAACATCCCTCTCTTCCTGCTCTTCAGGAATGTGTGCTGTGTTCCAGCACAAGGGAATCCTCCAACTCCATCACTTCACACCAGGGGCACCAGTGAGGTGACACTTTACAGCATAAAACACAACTGCCTGTTTTCTTCTTGCCTAAATCTCTCCTATGGAAAAGCAACTAGAGACTTGCATTTACCTTTTCTGTGAAGGTTTCAGTTATGGTATGTTAGAGCTGAAGAGTTATGATGGCTCTTGAGCCCCTGGCAAGAGTAACCAACTAGTGAGGAAGACACATTCATTTCACCAATATAAAATTCAGCCTTGGTATTCCAGTGCCACATAACCCAATTCCAAAAGAAGTCTGAGTATTTATCCTCCTACCAGATAGGTATTTTGAATACTGTGCTTGTCTGCTATTCATGATTTCAGGTAGCAGAAGGAAGGTTTAACTTTTTCCTGCAAGTATAAGAACCACTCAGTATTTCTTGATCATTTTTTTCCTTTGGTAAAACTGGTATTTCACAAGTAGCTTCTTCTCCCCCCATTCTTTACTTACTTGCCTACATTTTTCAGATGATCTTCAAATCCCACCCTTTCTACGACTCAGCAGCAAAAATTCTTAAAGGAGTATGAAGTGGAAGTGACAGCACTGCAATGAAGTTTAACCTCCTTGGAGTCAAATTGGCAACAGCTTTGAAGGTATCAGATTCCTTTGCAACTTCCTAAATCCTCCTTAACTCTCAAGTTTTTTTTCCCCCCGTTTGAAAGAAGAACAAAGTTGGCTGCCTCTAAGACTATTGGGAACTCATTTTTATTGCCTTAAACACGCAGACATTATAAATGCAGAATTTACAAGCTGCTTTTTCACTAGCTGAGCCACACACGCGTGGTTTTGCAGACCAAGTTTTAAATTTATTATGTAGAAAATTTAAAATCATTTCAAGAATTCATAAGCATGGATTATATTAGTCTATTATTACAAAAAGTAATCTGATATGTACAAATACTAAAAAATAACTCTTAGGAGGAATTAGTATTTTAGTATTTTATATGCTCACCTTGCATGGAAAAAAATAATCATCTCTTTAATTTCAAGTATCTAGCATATGTAGTAAAACACTTCTAAAAGTCTAGACTGCTAAGAGAAAAATTATCAATTCTAAATTATAGGAATTCCAACTCTTTTTCTATGTTTGTTAATTCTAATAATGTTCTAAAACCATCAGTGCCACTGAATGCCTCAAAAAAAATGACAATCCTGGCTCTTTTAAACACAGACCACTGGAGATGCTACAGCAGCAGTTACATTAATGCTGAAGTTAGCCCTGATTTGTGCTGGACCTGGACCAGATGTCATCCAGAGGTGTCTTTTGACCTAAGCTGTTCTATGATTATCTATAGTTTCTCTTCATAAAGAACCACTCCAGAAGAAGGTGGGACTAGCCAGTAGGAAAGCAAGGTTATCAGCTCCTATTAAAGGTGACATACTCTGAGAAACTACATTAGGATTTAATTGATCTAAGAGCTTACCAGAGAGCAGAAGCATGTCCTGCTCTCTCACTCCCTAGCCACTCTCAGCTGCACGTTGTGGCTCTGTCACAGCTCTTCTGTTAACAGATTCTCCAAGTGAGTCAACTCAGCCCACTAACCATGTTGCTAAAGCAGTCTGTAGATTAAACTGGCTAAATATATGGTTGCTAGAAGCCCAACATACAGCAGAGATGGAGAGGAGTGAATGCAGTACCTCATTTCAGCAGCAAAAACTTAACAGTGAGCTGTCAGAAACTTAATAGTGAAGTTGGTGGGAAAAATCCTTTGACATATATTTGAAAAAGTTGTGTAAAGATTATTGAGAAATCACAAAATTCAGCACAACAAAGAGAAGACACACACAAAAGGAAAATTAAAAAAAAAATTCTTAGGAAATGAAAAGATTCTAACCAAAATCCAAACAAATTGTGAATGACTAGACTTCTGAGAGATTAAATTGCACGTGGTTTATTAGGTATCACAAAAATACATGAAGTAACTGTGATAAGAAGAGTTTTCCTAAAAACAGAGTTTGTATTTTACATATTTCAAAAGTCGTGTCATATTTGCCCATCCTGGTGGGTAACACTAAGTAGCAGTTCAGAAGCTCCACCCATAGAGAAGATGCCACGCAGCAGGATGCCTTGGAGAAAGAAAAAAGCTGGATCTCACAATTCTAGCACTGCTTTGACACCTGAAAGATTGTGGTGTAAATCTCCACAGGTAAAGATTTTTGCTAGAACCTCTCAGACCCAGGGTAACTTGAAAATAGATATGGCTGGCACAAGGTTCAAACCCAGCTGCTTCTTAAGAACTTCCCTGGGAACCCCACATGTCTGTGACAAGCTTATTTCATGTAAACAAAGAAGCAAAAAACCAAGAAAAAAACTTGATATGCACAAGTATTTCCACTTGTTTAGGTTGTTGTTTTTGTTGTGGTGTTTTTATTTTTTCTTATAGTAATAATGGAAATAGATATGGCTGGCACAAGGTTCAAAGCCAGCTGCTTCATAAGAACTTCCCTGGGAACCCCACATGTCTGTGACAAGCTTATTTCATCTAAACAAAGAAGCAAAAAGCCAAGAAAAAAGTTGAGATGCACAAATATTTCCACTTGTTTAGGTTGTTGTTTATGTTGTGGTATTTTTTTTTTCTTATAATAATAATGGAATCATAAAATTGCTTATGGAAGAAGAACAGTAACTTGCAGTTTAGCATACAAGTCTTATTCACAGTGAAAAGCATTCCTCACTCCTCCTACTGTTTTGCAAGCTGAGGTTGATAGTTAATTTAAGGCTTTAAAACTCAGAGGATTACTCTCTCCATCTAAAGACAAAGATAATGAGATTAACATACCTGAAAAATACACCTAGTGCTAGTACAGCAGGAGACTACTAATTCAGAAGACAATGAGTTTTAGGTATACTATTATTTATGATCTCAGAGTGTATAAAACTATAAAAGTGATTAATTTCATTTGGTGACTGGGCTAAGAAAAAGGTCAAAGGAAAACTTATTTCTGTTCAAACAAAAAAGGGCCTTTCCCTGCTGAAACCGAGCCATACTAAATTATTTTCAGGGGCAATAAAAACTAGGTATTTCATTTCTGAGTGGTTTTTAAATCTTTAAAAGTGTTTAGCTAACTAGAAAGACACATCCCTATTCAATAATGACAATTAAGAATTTATTTGGAATGCAACCAACTGTAGAGAATTAAAAAGAAACCAAAATATCACAAATACTTTGCGAGAGATAGTGTTACCACTATATGTTTAGACTGGAAATAAAAGCTCAAGTTTAGGAGCAAGTATCAGTTCTTACCATGAGGTGTGACCAGATAAACACCTCCTCTTACCGTAATGCAGAGTAGACTCCCAGAGATAAGAAGGAATAGTCTGGGTCGTAGTACAGATAGACGGAGGACACGCAGTAGGGCAGGATATCAATGACACCAACAGCAATTATCTTCCCATCCAGCCAGTACTGCTGGTGGAAAGAACCATAGCCACACTCTGGTCCATTTGGTGCGTTCTCTGCCTAAGCAAAAACAAGAGAGGGATGTAATTGTCTGGCAGGTAGACTTGCAGTATAAAATTCTTCCTAAATGTTTTGTTTCTAACACAGAAGTAAATACTGTGAGAAGTTACTCCTGCTATCTGTGTTTAGAAACGGAGAAAAAAAGAATTTTAAGGAATTTAATCAGCAAGGAAAACAATGTTAGCTCACTGTATCATTTGTGACCTTTGCTGTACTCATGATTGGAAAACTCTAGATACCACGCACCCCAAACATGGACCTGCAAATAGCCTCTGCCAGCTGGCACTTGTGGTGCTGACATGATCAAACAATGTGATTCATCAGGTTATTGATGCATTACTACATACAAACAAACCTGCAGATACTCTTGAACTTGACCTACTTGCTCTTCAACAAGAGATGAAGCCCACAGACAAATAGAAAGGTGACATGCAGGCACTTCACTGTGCTGGCACTCCCCAAAGCTGGCTGTGGCTGCCTTGTTCCTCCGACACCTTCTGCCACAGCAAGGACCCTACTGTTCCTCTCCCCCATGCTCACAAGTACTGGAAGCTACAGAAATTCAGGTTCTCAGGGTTGCTTGAGAAGAGAATTTATAAAAAGAACCAAACAGCTTAGTCTTTCTGAGGTTTACTCTTTATAAGCAATGAAGTACCTTTTATCTAAGAACCTGAAATTGTGCTGCAAGACAATCTGTGGAACTTCTTCTTCATCAGCCCACATGAATGTCTTCTGCAAAAACACTGAGGAACTGGTTGTTGTGCACTGCAGTTTTGGATGTGCAGTGAAGCATGTCTCTGGACAGGGAAAAGCACCTAGAGCCAGAAACTGATGCTTCAGACAAAAAAGAAAATGATCTCCCAATTTAAAAACGTATTACACAACCAACTCTGGCATGCCATTTTCTTCCACGTCAAGCTTCCTTTAATCCCAAATTCCACTGTGCTCAACTTAATTATCCAACTAGTCATGTTTTTCACTGCGTTGCCAGATCTTCAGAAAGCTGCTTCTCACTCAATAAATCTGACAATATTGCCTGCTATTACCAACTGTTTTGCATTACAACAACAGAAGGTGGGTTTAATCAAGTATTTTGATACAGTAGCACAGACTGAAGAGATGATGGGCAGTAGAAGTTACTCTAATTGGTACCACATGTGTCAAGAGAAATCAATCACACGAACAAAAATCATTTCAACTGACTTACCCAACCAATAAACCCCCAAAATAAAGGCCATATCATAGAATGTTTGCATTTTTATATAGTTATGCAGCATAAAACTAGATGTGAAGCTACAGATACTGCAGAACTGAAATGATGAAACATTTGAGAGCTCAATCCACAGTATATGAGGATATTAGACTGATATTAACAGATTAAACTTACTCTAATTGGTACCACATGTGTCAAGAGAAATCAATCACACGAACAAAAATCATTTCAACTGACTTACCCAACCAATAAACCCCAAAAATAAAGGCCATATCATAGAATGTTTGCATTTTTATATAGTTATGCAGCATAAAACTAGATGTGAAGCTACACTGAAACGATGAAACATTTGAGAGCTCAATCTGCAGTATATGAGGATATTAGACTGATACTAAGATTAAACTGGGTTTCTTCTCATTCAGGTAAACCCTACTTATTCAACAGTTATGATTTTATACAATAACCTCAACTTTTCAGTAGAACCAAATGAAACCACCTGGTCAACAGCAAAACTTTTAAGCTGGGACACAGTCAAGTAAGATTTTTCTCTCTGGATTTCTCACCACAGGTGAGAAATAATGAAACTCTCCTACAAGCCAAAGGGAAATGCAATTGGTAATATCACACAGCCTTGCTTAAGTAAGTTGCAGTTAAAAATTATTTCCTTTCTTTGTCAAAACCTCATCATATTTGATTTCATTAAGACAGATAAGTCTAAGCCAACATGGAAAAGATTTTTACTCAAGGCAAAGTCTTCTGAAGTTAAATTAATGCTGTGTCTGTGTGTGACCCAAAACCTCCAAATGGCATCACAAGGGTTTGGTCACCGGATCTCTGCAAACTGAAGTATTAGAATCAGTGAAGACTTTCTAGTGAAGACTTTCTAGTGAAGAACAAACTACAGTTATTTCACTAATGGAATTACAAGGAAATGTCATGAACATGAAGGAGGCTGTGTCCCATAACAAACAGCACAGATTTCAGGCAAAATGTTCAGGGATCTCCATTACATTATGCAAAAAATGATTTCAAGAAGAGTAACATTTTCCTTGTCCTTCAGAAGTTTCCATACAACATAATCCTCTCTCATGTTTAGAAGTATTTTGTTTTCTCCAATATCTCAATGAACATTAGACTCCTTTAACTTGATTTCTCATGCATCATCCAGGTGACTTGACATGAAGCAGGTGTGGAACATGACAGATTTTTCTGAAGCAGGTTGTACCACTTCACACCACTGATGAGCCCTCCTGGGACCATGTTTGTCTAAAGTGGTGGAAAATACACCAGTGGCACCAGGTGAGCAAGCCCCACCAGGAAGGGCTTACTTTACCTACCCAAAATTATACCTTAGCCCTGGAAACAAACCAGAGGGACCAATTTATTTACAATTAACAATTTATACTCAAACTCAAAAGTATGATGTATTATTACAATCTGACACTGGAACAATCAAAAAATTAGGAACTAAAATAAAGGGCAAAAATTAAACCAAAACAGTTTATCTCCAATGTTTAGATGACAATAACACAGAGAAAAACACAATATATTCCATCACAGGTTAATTCTTCATATTCTGCTAGCTAATGACTTTGTGAACAGATTTGGTGGCTCTCCTTTTATAACAACTTATTAAAATTTTAACTTTTAATAGCACCTAGTATTATATGTTGTCCCAATTACTACACCTCAATGTAAAAACTGCTTGCAATTGAACTTCAGTGATGGTGAGAGCACTCAATTTTCTTCAAAGCACGTTGCTCTCTCTCTTTAAGAGATGTTTTACTACTTTATCATCACTATTGTTATGATGGAAATTACACTTGTTAACCCACAAGCCAGAGCAGTGTGCAGCTGCAGAAGGCACTGTGTACTCCCAAAAATGAGCCCTGACTATACTAACTCCATGATTACTTTGCTCTGGAAGGTCTCATGGAATTTGCCATTTTGAACTGTTCCATTTTACTCTCTGCTGTGCATGAAGTGAGGAGGAAGACATGAAATCCCTTACACAAAACAAAACACCAGTCAAAAGGCCAGGATACCTCTCATTTCCACACTCCAGTGGAAATTATTTGGTAAGTGCAGTGATTAATTCCAGCAGTTCCTTTCCCAAAGGCACACACCCACAACCTGCCATAGGGTAGATTTGTATCTCTTGGTGAGCAATGTGCTTCCTTTCCAGTACTATGTCCTCCTTTCAGTAGAGGCAGGTAAATCACTGAAGACTGAACAATGTTGCAGCAAACTGGGTCTAGTGCTGGACTCCCCAGCACAAGAAAACTACAGAACTAGCGAGACAATCCCCTAAGGGCCAAAAAGATCATAGAATGGTTTGAGTTGGAAGGGACCTGAAATATCATCTAGTTTCAACCCCCTGCCATGGACAGGAACACCTTCCTCTAAACCAGGTTGCTCAGAGCTTCGTTCAACCTGGCCTTGAACACTAACATGGACAGGGTATTCACAGCCTCTCTGGGCAACCTGCTCCAGTGTCTCACCACCCTCAAGTGAAGACTTTCCTCCTAACATCTCATGTAAATCCACCCTCTTTCAGTCTAAAGCCATTACCCCTCTTCCTATCACTACACTCTCTGATACCAAGTCCTTTTTTCCTGTAAACCCCCTTTAAGTACTGAAAGGCTGCAATAAGGTCTCCCCAGAGCCTCCTCTTCTCCAGGCTGAACAACCCCAACTCTCAGCCTGGCCTCAGAGGGGTGGTGTTCCAGCCCCCAATCATCTTCGTGGCCCTCCTGGGGACTTGTTCCAAGAGGTCCATGTCCTTCTTCCTTCTGGTGGCTTCAGAGCTGAAGCAGTTGGGCCAGCTGGCTAGAGTATCTGCCCAATCATCTTCGTGGCCCTCCTGGGGACTCGTTCCAAGAGGTCCATGTCCTTCTTCCTTCTGGTAGCTCCAGAACTGAATGCAGTTTGGTCAGCTGGCTGCAGTCTGTGGAGTCTCCATCCCTGGAGATACTGAAAACCCTTGAAACCTTCCAACCTGAACAATTCTGTGATTCTGTACCAAAACAGAGATCAACTCACTGCATCGAGAACCTCTAAGACACTGTGGAGAGAGCTAACTTCTGTACCTTACAGGAAAAGGACAGTATTTGAGCTGTACTGTCAACTATTTAATCAGGCCAGTGAGAGTAAGCTTGAAATAATAATAAAGATTAGTGAAGCTGTAAAGGTACAAGGGACCTCAGCTGCCAAAGACATCATGGTGATGTCTATATCACTGCAAGAACACAACAATTTTCCAAGATCTCTAAAGGAAATAAGTTTTGATTTAGTCCTAGGCAGTGCATTAAACACAACCAAAATATGACATTCTACAGAAGGTGATTCTGGGAATTCCAGACCTGTAATGGCAGCATTTGTTATCAGACCTCCCCAAAATTGACACATATCAATAAAATCATGCAGAGCAGAAGCTTATGTGCTTTTTGAAGAGCAAAGATCTAGGTTCACAAATGTCCTTCAGTTCTTTAGAATTCAAAAGCATCTCAGTATGGATAACAGGAACCAAAAGGGGAAAAAAACACCATTCATAAAATGGAAAGCAGCTCACTCTCCATTGTGCTGGATCTGTTCTGTTCTCCACACTGGCAGGTAAATCACTGAAGACTGAACAATTTTGCAGCAAACCAAGCTGATGATTTAAAAGTATTCAGGATGATTAAACAAGAGCTGAGTGTAAACAGCTACAGAAAGATCCCGTAATACTGCGTGATTAAAAAGGCAGAGGAAATGCTCATAAATCCACAGGACATAAATACATCAAATATAAATGCCTGGAGGAAAACGTATTGCTCTATACACATCCAAAACAATGGTTATAAATTAGCAATTCTCTCAAAAAGATGCTTTTGAGAGCAGATGAAATCATCAATTTAATGTTTAGCATCAGTCGAGATGGAAAAAAAGACTAAAGAGCAATTAGAGATGGATTTGAAAACAAAACCAAAGCAAACCCTCATGTGACTGTGTAGAGCCACAGCCCTTCTGAGTGCTGAGCCTCGTTCCAGTGGCTGCACCACGATGACGTGGAACAGCTTGGGAAGGGCAAAGGCAGAAATGACTACGAGTGATGCTGACTGGTTTTTGGCTCAGACTCCTACACCGAGCCACCCTAATCATGCCCCTCCAAACCAAGTAGCTTTGCAACCCTAAAGTGATAAAACAGCAAATGCCCAAAGGCAGCTACTAAGACAAAGGGATGAATAAAAACACCCCTCCATCGATTCTTTCTACATTATCCTGTTTACTGCTAGAAAACTGCCCAGTTTTCTGCTACTACATACTATATCTTTTTTTTTTAAACTATTCATTTTTTGTGCCAGAGCCCACAGCCAACCCAGAAATTAAACATAATAATCACACGAGGAAACAAAAAAGACAGGAAGAGTTTGAGTGTTCATACAATTTGCAGCTAGTAACAACATTAAAAATTCAGAAAATTACAAATCGGAATCGTGTAAGGTTTAAATTTTATTTTAAATTATTTTTGTTCAAAAGAGTAAACAGACTACACACAGCTAGATTTGCTTGTGGCAACTGTTTCAGAATAAAGAATTTCAAGAATCCCTTGGCCTCTGATACACAACCCCTTTTATTTAACTTCATCTAATTGAAGACATCTGTAGTGGTGCCACACAAAATTTAATTCAAGCTTCGAAATGTCAATAAAAAGTGTCTGTAAGAAACAATACTGGTATGAACCTGGCAGGGAAGTGTGCATCAAGATCTACGTAGCCATACAAAATCAAGAATATAATGGCAGACTGCTGCCAGAGTTGACGAGGTGATAAAAGCCCTTTTCCTATAAAGTCTAATGAGCTCTATTACTCTTCAGCTTTCAGGAATGTAAAGGCCAGTGGACTCAGCAGAGAAAAGCAACAAACTCTCCACACATGGATTCATTCAAACTACGACATATCAAGTTACTAGTGTAATTACTATAACCTGACAATTTCATTACAGTCACACAGTTCTTAACTCTTCAAGACTAACAAGAAAGACGGCGCAAGAAGTCCGTAGCAGTTTGCTTACTTGAAATGAAGCAACAGCATCTCTCCTAAACTTTTCACTCAGATTGTAGTCAAGTTTAGCAAGTTATTTAGTAGTAGTCTTTTCTTTCATAGAAATAAATGAACAGAACAGAACCAGCACATTTTGCTACTATCTCTTCATGCAGTGATCCAAAATTCAGTGATAGCTTGTCTAGTTTATTATCCAGCATAGTCCTCAGACTCCTTGGAAAATACAGTGCTATCATCCTTACCAGTAGGTGAAGATACAAAAACTGTGGCACCCATCTATACCACTTTGACCATAATAGTTTGCTGTCTACAGAGAGTGGAAAGAATTCCAAAGGTTGCAGCTAGAAGGAATACATACCTCCAGAGGAGAATCACAGAGGAACCGTGTGAACTGCACCGAGGGAGATTCATCAGAAATAGGTGCCCAAGAAGACAGTCCAAATATGCAAAGTAGAAAAAGAAGAAAAATATTTTCAGTATTTCAGGATATACTAAGAGTCAAATACACTTTCAAAACCATACATTTGAAAAACACCATCAGATTTTATGAGTTAAGATAAAATTTCCATAAACTAACTCCCACTTGCTATTTTAGGTAGAATAATTAACTATCCAAAGTACTTCCTTCCTATGAAATAAGATTATTTTTAAAATGTGATAGAATTATCACCTTGTAATACAGGTCTGTTTCTGGTGTCATTTATTTTAAATTACACATGACCCTTCTCTGTGACTGCCTGCAAGAGGGAGTGGAGTCTTTTCCCACCCTTCCACTAGTACCTGCCCCATCACTAACACAAGGGGGTTAGGGTCCTCTCTCTTAATATAAATTGATTAAGGCTATTTACATCCAAAATCATAAGCATGACTATTTTCAGTCTAAAGAAGAGAAAGGAGAAAAGGAAAAAAATAAAACCAACTTCCTGAAAGTGCAAGCATTTTCAAACCTAGATTCTTTACTCAACACAAAATGATGTGCTGCAGATTATCAACCAAAAAGACAAGGTTTTAATGATCTGGAGCTTGTTCAAGGTTCTAACAGTACAAAAATGTACTAGTTATTTATTTATCATCACTTACTTATTTGATACAAATACTTCCTTATTGGTGGATTCCACATTAAACTTGTTACAAAGTTCTGGTATGTGTTCAGCCCTAAAGCATTCCTTTGTTCAAACCCCAGTACGTGTTGCATGGTTTAATTCCCCCCCTTGTAAAACCCAATGATTTAATAAGTCAGCAGTTCCCAAACTGCAAAGTAATGGCAAACAGGAACTTTTAATTAAAGTTTGATTAAAAGAATATATATATGGACACATACAGAAACTGATTTTTGTGAAGAATTTCTGAGATTTGAGAAGATTATTCTATTTAAAGGGCAATACAAAAAATGGGTTGATTAGTTGTCAGGTATCCCATTTTACCCAGGGAAAGGGAGGAGAGGAAGGCAGGCAACAGATTCTTCCTCCTCAAACACACAGCAGTAGCTGACCTATGGCAGACCTTTCACCACAGACTCCACAGAAGAACACTGAATTTCTGTAAGGTGCTGGGGAAGCCAAGGGATTGTGCATTTCCTACAATGAACCATTTCAGATCTAGTTACTACCATCCCAAATTAGAGTCTGGAAAGTGAATGACTGCAATATCATAATTAAATTCTAGAATTTTTATTGACTTGGTGGATAAGGAGAAAGAAAAAGAAAAATGCACCCACACAGATATTAAGGAGGAAAAAATAAAAGTAATTCAAGATTTGAATTATTGAGTTATGTTCCCATTAAAAAGGAACAGCGAGTTACAAATTCCTGCACTGCCAGTGCATCAGTTCTTACAGCCAGTGATTTCAGAATGTGCAGGCTTCAGAAAAAATAAACCATGTGTTATTAATTCTCATGTCAGAAGACCCCCAATAGTTCTTAATCTGTAACTTTAGCTTTATAGTGCAAGTTAAACCCTATGGGTGAGAAAACTGAGCCAACGACACTTCTCAAATCGTTTTATCCATCCTCCAGGCTCTGCTACACAATCTCTTGGCTTTGGGGGCCAGGGGGGACTTTTTAAGTATACCTGAGTGTAACTGCTGCTTGCTAGGGAGTATATACTGTTACCATGACCTATGCTGCTGGCTAGAAAAATAATATTGTAAATGCACTTGGTTTTGTATCACAATGTTATGGGGGAAAAAAAAAAAATATACTGCAAATCTCACTACATATTATTTCACCTGTTGAAACTTGTTAAAGTTCTTGGGTTAAACAATTTTAATCAAGTCCCTAAAAACTTCACAAGACTGTGAATCTTCTCTAGAAGTCAACTGAGAAACAGTTACTCAAAAATCCCAACATTTTTTTGTTGTGGATTTGTTGTGGGTTTTTTTCTTTTTAAGGAATAACTTGCACATAGAGCTGGAGAATTTAACAAACATTTTAAACCCACTGACTTCTGCTGGTATAGTCTCAATCCTTAATCTCCCTTCTCACCTCCAAATCATAGTTTCATCCTAACCTAGGAGTATACCAAGACTATAAATTTATTTAAACTGAAGTAAGCATACGATTCAGTTTCTAAATAAACAAACTAATTTAATAGTGCAGAGATATTATGAACACAACTCAAAAATTATTCAGTAAACCATGAATGAAACAGCCAAAAGCTGGTGTTGCATGTAGAACTCAGTCTGTCACACAAGCACAACTAAAATTCTCTTCACAAAGCCATGCTTTTTTAATTTCAAACCAAATTACATAAACATCAGTCTTTTAAGAACTATGTAATATATATGAAATCCACAACATTTTTGCTTTGGTGCAAACCAATGACAACTGCCAGAAAGAATCAGCACAACACGAAATAAGTTTAAACATAATTAATAACACTAAGAGAGGAACATATCACTGAGAACTAAATCAAAAGGGAAGAAAAGGCAGAATAATGAAAGGAAGGTTTGGTTTAACTCGGAGCTACCTGCTCAAGTAAAAAGCACAGTGAGAAGACATCACAGAAAGACATTCATTTATAGTTTTCCTTCTGACAACATTAGAGTTTGCTCATATTTGCAACTCACTGTCAAGGAAAACTGGGTATTTGCCCTGGCTATTTGCCCTTTTCTTTGGTTTGTTTTGTTTTTGTTTTGTTTTGTTTTGTTTTTTTAATTGGATTAATATAATCCAAGGTGTTGAATATTTTTTGATTTGGTTTTTCATAAACATGCCAGGCTCATAATAAAATAAACAATAACACTATGAGTTTCCATACAGAAGCCAAGCCAAACCACCTACAGTTCCAGTGTACCACCCCCATGTGTATCAAGCAAGTTTATCCTCTCTTCCCTTCTCCATTTCCATGGCAAACAAAATGAATGGTTCCACATATTGAGAACTGGAAGTGGCCAAAAGAATCCTCCTGTAGTCACTAACAGGAATGAGCCATAAATGGTGGCTTTCTTTTCTGACAACCCCTGGCATCTCCTTAGATATTAATTTTTATAAAGAGTCTCTCCCCCTCAAGTAGGGCAACCTTTAAGTATCAGGTATGCATGGAAATGAAGAGCTAGAATTGGATTTTTCTTGTCTAGAAGCCCCTTTCCTAGTTGAACACTTAGCTTCTTTTATCCAGCTCTGCTTGGCTTCATACAAACATCCTGCAACCCCCAAAGCAAGCAGTGATGTACCCCTTTGGAGCCCTATTAATTTCAAGATACTGGCACTTCTTCCAGGTTCAGAACAGGGTTTGAATCTCAAACACTAAACTCATCCTTGTTTGTCAACAAGAGCTGTTTCTAAGGCAGTTTACTTTTTAAAGAACTTGGTGTGTAGTCATAAGCACACTTTGTCCTAGGAAATGTGTTAGGATTTATTTTGTCCATTTGGCTGCTATTTTAATTGAGATAATCTTCTCTAGGCAAACCTGACTAGAATCATTATTAACCATAAAGTAGTGGAGTGAAAAAAGTGAAAAATACACAATTAAAAAAAAATAAGTGAAACTTTCAGTAAAACTAGAAGCTGCTAAATGACCAAAATAAACCATCAAACACACAAAGAAAAATTACCTAGAAAAACAGATAAAAATTAATCTGGAAAATGAACAAAATTCTGTTTATTTTCTATAAAAATCTCAGAAATGGGACAAAATATAGTATGTTTACAAAAAAAATATTACCAAGCTACCCTGTTGTCCTTACAGCAGGAACTGTACTAGAGCCCAGTTAGCAGAGGAATCAAAGCTCAGGAGACCCCACCTGGAATACTTCATCCAGCTCTGGAGCCCCCAACACAAGAAGGACATGGACATGTTGGATAAGGTCCAGAGGAGGGCCACGAAGATGAACAGAGGGCTGCAACACCTCTCCTACAAAAACAGACTGAGAGAGTTGGGGTTGTTCAGCCTGGAGAAGAGAAGGCTTTCAGAAGACCTTATTGCAGCCTTCCAGTATCTGAAGGAGGCCTACAAGAAAGCTGGGGAGGGACTTTTTACAAGAGCTTGTAGTTACAGGACAAGGGGTAATGGCCTCAAACTGGAATAGAGGAGATTTAAGTTAGATGCAAGGAAGAAATTCCTCACTGTGAGGGTGGTGAGACACTGGCACAGGTTGCCTTTTTGCTCCCCCCCTGTTAGTGTTTAAGACCAGGCTGGATGGGGCTCTGAGCAGCCTGGTTTAGGGGGAGGTGTCCCTGTCCATGGCAAGGGGGTTGAAACTAGATGATCTTCCAGGTCCGTTCCAACCAAAATCATTCTGTGATTCTGTGGTTCTGGTGCTGGCTCCATGTAGCATTTTCAACAGTGACTTACAAAAATGTAGGAATACTAACAAAATAGTTTCCACAGACCAGAAGGTGAAGAAAGAGCCTTCAAAAACATTGCACATAAAGAAAAGGGGAATTTACAGTTTAAATGCATGTCTCAAATGTAGCTTTCAGTACAAGCATCAGACTAATGAAATAGAAAAATCTGCTGATGGACAGAACATACATTTTATGATTACAATTTCAGTTCCTTTATGGAGTGACAAAAATCCCTGTGGCTTTGTCTGCTCACAAGAAACCTACTCTCAAAATAAAGGGTATCTGTCAGTCTTATAGTATTAGAATCAAGAACAATATAAACTGTGATGCAAAAAGCATATGAAATGAAATGATGACTATGAACAAGCTACTGAATTGTCTCAATGCCAAAATTCACTGGCTCTTATGGGCACTTGAAGAATAAAATTCATTAATCCAGGGCACTATAGTCACAGGAGCCATGCTAGTAAGCAGGAGACAGGTTGATACAGAAGTTTTAAGTCTTTCAGTCTGCAATGTCAGAGACCTGAAACACCAGCTCATTGCAGTGAGATGTTCTGCTGCAGCTACAGCCAACCATCAGATCTGTGCTGCCACCAGATGA